GATATAATTAGACATCTTTCCATCCTGAAATGCTTTTCACTTCTTACCTCGATCTCCTTTGCAGTATGGCTGGCACTTTAATGGGGTGCGCACACAATTTCGGAGTAAAAGCTTAATTCCTTCTCCATTAAAATGTTAATTATACCTCTAATCAGCCTGAATTCTGTAAGCGATAGAGCTTGGTGAATTTCCTTTTTTTCCAGGTTGGAGTCTCACCTTTCCTGGTTAGGGCACATGCATCTTCTATTGAAATCAACTGCACTACATATAAATGAGTGTCCTAGCAAATCTTGTAACGCTCTTTGATCAGTATATGCCACCTGTTCTGCAATCTTAATGGAATGGAATTGTTACCTGTTTTTTTTCAGGTTTCTTTTTTTAAATTCTCATTAGGAATGTGGAAGTTACCTTTGATAGCATTTAATTTGGTAGCTATTAGATTTGTTACCCTCTGCTGTATTGTCTGAATTAAATTAACACTCTGTAAAAAAAGAGAACTCTTTCGCTCTATATATATTCATAAGAATCACTGAGCATACTGTACGTGTACATTCTAGTAGAATAATACCTAAACTGTGGCTAAACTGTGGCAAAGGCTGTGACTGAGACAGGGCATGTCAGTAGGAGAACCAATCTCTTGAATTCTACAGTGCTGTAAATATTACACTACTAGCGGCATGCATACATGTAGGGCATAAAATCAGACCTCCACCATGCCTACCCTCTGACCATCCCAGATCCTTCTTCTGTTTGCACTCAGGGACTAAAATCCCTCAGAGTTCTACACTTAATTCAGAAAGACCCTGCAATTCAATTCCCTAATATGCCCAGTTCCCATAAAGAAATTAGCAGCCATGCTGCAAAAAAAAGAAAAAAATTCTGACACCCTATGGCAATATACTGATTGGTTGAAATAGCCTATGCTAAGTGATAATTGCTGAAACATGGAGAGAGGCCAGTTTAAAATAGTATATTGGGCCTATTAATATAACTATGAAATACCAACCACAGGCGTGGATCAATTATTGTCCCAAATATAATATACCTTTCCCAAATTTGAATCACATCACCTCCTGTCGCAATGCCATAGAACATAGAACATTTCTGCAAAACTCAATAAACTACATGTACATGTAACTGTCCTCACCAAATCCCTCAACCCACGGTTATGCTTATTCTACCACACCATAGAAACATAACTGCTATACATATTTGCATTTTGAGGGTAAAAAAAAAAACTTGGAATGGGGAAATGGCTACACTCTACTCTTCCCGGGGCTGACAATCTTAAATCATTACTGCATAGAGTCGTGCTATTAGATACACTATACATAACAAAAAAAGATCCATACACTAAACAATTTTTCAAGACCTGGATGTATCATATAGCTCAACCCTTCCACTATCCAAAAGAATGCCTGATGGGCCACACATCTGTTGGAAATACACCAGCATATGCTCATATGTATTGATTGTATTGCTGACATTCAGAGATTTAATTGTGTCTTTTGAGCAGTAGATGGCGCTGTGGTGCAATGCTAGTCTATGTTAGTTTTCTACATGCATACTTATCTGTGACACACAGGAAGTTCTATCTGTATACATGTTTTTCCCTCTCTACTATGCTGTATTCCTGTATACGTACATGTAATGTCCTGCTAAGCAAGTAAAACTTAATTAAGTATTCCTTAAGATCTCAGTGCTTCATCTAAACACATAACCAACAAAATCATGCCTGTATTAGTTGTAATATGAAGTACAGTTAGCAGATAAAAAGTAAATGCAACAAAAAACACAAAGCGTTTTCAAGTAGCAGCATTTTTTTATTGGTAATAAATAAAAACATGGTTATTGTATTAATATATTACTTACTTGTTGTATAACAAGGCAATGACAAACTGATATTTCATATGAGAACAATACAACTTTGTTTTATCAGTAACATATATCTGCTTATCAGTGGATGTCTTTACAACATTTGTAACATCTACATTGCCTGTACTTGATCACAACAGTCTATTCTAGTGCCATATATCATCCAAGTCTCTCCAGGAAAATATATTCCTGCTCAGAAAGCATTATTTATCAGATACAGTAAAATCATAAGATCTGGGCACACCGTGACAAATACTATAACATATACAGTGGCTTTCAAAAGTGCATGGTAAAAGACTGTCACATAACCAGAAATGTTTTTTTAATACTCTGGCGCCCCTGAAAAGAAATACCAATATAACAATGTCCGTAGTAATGATTTATCAAAAAAAATCTCCTTTTTCCACACTGCCTTTTGGCATTAAGTCCCATATAGGGCTTACAAGACAGTATCTATTATAGTGTAGACCAGGGGTAGGCAAACTCCAGCCCTCCCGCTGTGGTGCAACTTCAATTTCCATTAGGCATTGCAAGACTCTGACAGCCACAGGCATGACTCTCAGAGACAGAGGCATGATGGGATTTGCAGTTTCACCACCACTGGAGTGCTGGAATTTGCCTACACTTGGTGAAGGCTAACTCACATTCTTGTCATTCAAGTAGAATCCATAAATCAAAGTCACGCTGTCCAATGGAGCAATCCTGCAGTGTAGGGTTCACATCCACAAGAAGGCAAATACTTCAGATATCCTGTCCAAAAAAGCTGGGAGTTTGTATACCTGATGCTGACAGGTTGCTCTCAGGGATAATATCCTAACAAAGGCAGTCGGAGATGAGATTTCAGCATCTACTTGGAAAATGACCCCTAAGGAAAGCAATTTTTGTTGATAGTGTTAGACTATATCAAATTATCTGCCTGAGTTTGAGTGAGCGCACTTTACACTTTTATCTCATGAAGATGAAAGAAGGACAAGGGGTCGAAAATTGCAAAGATGACAATACATAGAAAGCAGTTCAATGCAGTGCAGACAATTCAAGAATTATGGATGGGCAATAACACATCAGTAGCTCTACCAACATGGATGCACAAGGATCTATGTCCCTTATGAAGATTTCCACAGCAGGTAGCAAGCAGTAAGTGGGTCAATTGCCCCAACATCTGAGATAAAGAAACCCTGGAAATCCCAACAGCATGTGTAGTGGCTCTTTGTATCATAAAAGGTGCCAAGAGAGTGTCAGTGTCAGCAGAGTCAGAGCAGAACACAATCAGGTACACACTCATCCCCTTTTTTGGAAAGGATATCAGATCTGAGTGTTTTCCTTAAGTTCTGACGAGGACCCTATGCTTCAGAATTACTCCATTGGAGACCTTGACTCTGATTTATGGATTGTATTTGAATGACAAAAATGTGTGTTAGTGTACACAATGATAGACACTATCTCGTAAGCACTATATAAGGCGTAATGCCATAAAGGAGTATGGAAAAGGGAGATTTTTTGATTTGTTTTCCATTACTGTTGATTAAAAAAAACAAAATGGTACTTTGCTGGAGCCCCAGAGTATTTTATCAGTTTGTTTCTGGCGATGTCAGTCTTTTAACATGCACTATTAAAAGCTATATTTTACAGTACTTGTTACTGTACTACTACTACCATACTAATAAATTGGCTGTACTTGACATGTTTAAATTTAAATAAAAATGATATGCTAAATAAATATATTTTCTTATTGCTGTCAGAGTCTCTGTGGGGAGATTTCCTTTTAGTTCCTGTATAGTATGACACCTGTAAAGTCTCCGAAATGGGAACACATAGAGCAGTGAAAAGTTGACAGAGATGGAATCATTTTCCACATTAACTAAAACTGGATAAAAATGGCTGGAGTTGGCCTTCTGAAACATAATTGAACAATATACTTAGGGGTCTATTCACTCAGCTGCCATAGGCAGCTGAGTGAAAGACCGACCTGCAGTTAAGTGAGCCGAATGCTGTTCGGCTATTCACTTCAGGCTGGTACGGCTGATTTCAGCCATATATCGGCTGAAATCAGCCATACATCGGGTGGCTTCGGGTCGGCCGAACATGCTGAGCATGTTTGGCTGACCCAAAGTGCAGAAGGAGTTCGACTCAGCCGATACAACATCTGGATCCGCTGCTACTCGCTGCTGTTCGGTCTATTCTCATAGATGCCGAACAGCAGTGAGTGAATAGCCGAATGCCGCCGAGCGGCATTCGGCTGGGCTGTTCTGCTCGGTCTCTCTGTGGGACCGAGCAGAACAGCCGGGCGCTCCGGGAGGCTCCCGTTTCCGACCCCCAAGGAGAGAAACACTGCTTTTTCTTGTTTTTTCTTATTCTGACACGAAGCCGTGTCAGAATATTAAAGAAATAATAATAATTTGGCCATGGGAATGCAATGCTAGATTCCTATTGGCTATTTCATTTTCTACTTCAATCAATCAATTTCTATTTCAATAAGTAGTGGACCTGATGGAGAAGTGCAGTTCTCCATCAGGTCCACTACTGATTGACAGCAGCAGAGGGCGGGTACAATGCTAGTTTGCTATTGGCTACTGCAAATTGAAATAGCCAATAGGAATCTAACAATGCATTCCTATGGCCAACAACGGCCACGTGTCAGAATGAGAAAAAAAAAGAAAAAGCAGTGTTTCTCTCCTTGGCGGCC